GGAATTTATCGCGGATGGCAGGGCCATCGGCGGGATCATTGAACTCGAGTCCAGATAGATGGTCGGCAACGACATTCTCGACACATTTCTTGTCCTTGATGGTCAAGTCAAATTCCTGCAATAGAAGAATCCACTTAATTAATCGCGCCTTAGCATCCTTTTTTGGAAAGGAGATACTTGAGGGCGGCATGATCTGTAAAGACGGTGATAGGTGAACCGATCAAATATGCATGGAACTTGTCAAGTACAAAGACCACAGCGAGCAACTCTTTCTCAGTGGTTGAGTAATTCATTTGAGCACTATTTAGAGTTCTACTCGCGTAATACACAACAAAGGGCTTCCCTTCCCTTCGTTGACCAATGATGGCCCCCACAGCATAATCACTTGCGTCACACATGATCTCAAATGGTAAGCTCCAATTGAGTGACTAAATGATGGGGGCGGAAGTCAACTTCACCACAAGCGTTTGGAAAGAGTCCTCACACTTTTGTGTCCAATCGAACACGGCGTCTTTGGCCAGGAGGTTACAAAGTGGACAAGAAATTGCTGAAAAGTTTTGTATGAACCTCCTATAAAAACCAGCATGCCCCAGAAAAGACCGAATGTCTTTGACAGTCTTGAGGGTGGGCAACTTTGAGATAAGTTCAATTTTGGACTGATCAACCTCAATCCCTCTTTCAGAAACAACATGCCCCAAGACTATGCCAGATGGCACCATGAAATGACACTTCTCCCAGTTAAGCACGAGACTTTTCTCTTCACATCTCTTAAGCACAGCTTCTAAGTTGAGAAGGCACGTGTCGAATGAGTCACCAAAGACGGTCAAATTATCCATGAACACTTCCATACACTTCTCAACCATGTCGTTAAAAATGCCCATCATGCACCTCTGGAAGGTGGCTGGTGCATTACACAGCCCAAATGGCATACGTCGAAAAGCATAAGTACCAAAAGGACAGGTAAATGTAGTTTTATCCTGATCCTCTAATGCGATCTCGATCTGATAATAGCCTGAGTAGCCATCAAGAAAGCAATAGTAAGGATGACCAGCCACACGTTTTAGGATTTGGTCAATGAATGGAAGTGGGAAGTGATCCTTGCGGGTGGTGGCGTTCAGCTTTTGATAGTCAATGCACATTCACCAACACGTCACAGTCCTTGTGGGAACAAGAGCCCCTTTCTCATTTTTCACCACTGTCACCCCTGATTTCTTAGGCACTACCTGAGTTGGACTGACCCACTTGCTATCAGCGACTGGATAGATGATTCCTGCATCCAGAAGATTCAAGATTTCATTCTTCACGACATCTTTCATCATCGGGTTCAGTCTCCTTTGGGGATCCCTTCGTGGATTAACCCCGTCTTCCAAGTTGATGTGATGAGAGTAAATTAAGGGGCTAATACCCTTAATGTCAGCAATCGTCCAACCTAATGTCGATTTGTGTTCACACAGCATGTCAACTAACCGCTGCTCTTGAAATGCATTAAGTTTAAACGAAATGATGACAGGAAAGGTATCACCAGCTCCCAGGAAGACATGTTTCATATTCTCAGGCAGTTGAGCCAACTTGAGGTTTGGGGTCTCTTTGGTGGATGGTTTTGGCTTTTCTTTTTCTCTTGGTAGCTCTTCAAAACGTGATTGTCAAAACTTGGTTCCTCTGCATTGTGAGTCTTTGAAAATGTTGACATTATTGGCCAACTCACAAGGACCGAAACTCTCAGATTCAGAAATGCGGAGGAAATCATCAAGATCATCAGAATTGCTACACAACTGAACCTCCTCTGAGACGAGTGTGTCAATTAGAAATGTTTGGTGGCACTCGTCATCATCACGTGGTTGCTTTGCAATGTGAAAAACATTCACCTCCAAAGTCATGTTCCCAAAGGATATCATCATTAGACTATTCCTACAGTTGATGAGAGCATTGGCTGTAGCAAGGAAAGGTCTTCCGAGGATGATGGGAATCTTAGACTCCATACTCACCACGGATTGAGTATCCAAGACTAGAAAGTCAATGGGGTAATAGAACTTATCAACTTGAACCAAAACATCCTCAACTATCCCCCGAGGCTTCTTGATCGATCGATCAGCCAGCTGCAGAACCACATATGTGGGCTTAATTTCTCCAAGGCCAAGTTATGAGTAGACAGAGCGTGGCATGAGGTTAACACTCACTCCTAGATCAAGCAAAGCTTGGCTGAACTCATGTGTCCTAATCTGACAGGGAATTATGGGACAACCGAGATCCTTGTACTTGAGCGGTGTTTTCTGGTCGATCACCGCGGTTACCTGTTCTGTCAAGAATGTTGTCTTCTTGACATGGTGTTTCCTTTTGATAATGCATAGATCCTTGATAACCTTAGCATAAATAGGCACTTGCTTGATAACATGAAGCAAAGAAAGATTAATCTTCACTTGAGTCAAGTGCTCTAGGATCTCACTTTGGTGTTCCGGTATTTTCCCAGTTGGACGTAGAGCTTGGGGAAAAGGCACCTTTACCGGAACATTTGTTGGCTCATCTTTCTCAGGGACTACTTCCTTACTACTCGAAGTGGTGGCACTTGTTGACGGTTCTTCCATAATCTTACCACTACGAGTACTGATGGCATTCACCTCCTTAACATTTTGATTATCGAGACATGAGGTTTGCGCCATATGTTGACCCTTTGGGTTTGACTGAGCTTGTGAAGGGAACTTGCCGCGTTCTTGAACAGCCAAAGCTCCAGTCAGCTTCGTGATTTGACTCTTCATTTCTTTACTTTCCTCCACCATTTGTGTGAACAATGACTCAAACTTCTGATTCGTCTTACTCAGCACCTCCATGAAAGATTGCAAGGTGTCTTCAAGAGAACTCCTTGGGTGATGTGATTGTATTGAGGTGCAGAATACGCCTTTGGTGGTTGCAGCTGTTACTCAGTTCTCCATTGCCCTCCTGATCTCCTTAACATTTTGATTATCAAGACATGAGGTTTGCGCCATATGTTGACCCTTTGGGTTTGACTGAGCTTGTGAAGGGAACTTGCCGCGTTCTTGAACAGCCAAAGCTCCAGTCAGCTTCGTGATTTGACTCTTCATTTCTTTACTTTCCTCCACCATTTGTGTGAACAATGACTCAAACTTCTGATTCGTCTTACTCAGCACCTCCATGAAAGATTGCAAGGTGTCTTCAAGAGAACTCCTTGGGTGATGTGATTGTATTGAGGTGCAGAATACACCTTTGGTGGTTGCAGCTGTTACTCAGTTCTCCATTGCCCTCCTAATGGTTGTGCTTGGTTGGAATCTCTCCAACTGAAGTTTGGATGGTTCCTCCAGCCAGGATTGTATGTGTTAGAGAAGGGTTTGTTGTATGCCCCTAAGGCATTGCATTGCTCCTCATAAACCCCTCTCATTTCACCATAAGCAGGACAATCCTTAGCTAGATGTTCCACCCCACCACA